GGAGCAATACGGCTCCTACACCTGTGCTTGATGCATCGACACTGACTGTTACTGATTTATTTACATCGTAGTATTGAAGAACTGGAGCTTCTGTTACTAAGCGTTGTAACTCTTCAAAACTTTTGTCCTGTTCAGCATGCCATTGCCAGTCAATATCATTCTCAAGAGGTTTTCTCAGTGGTTGTGTGACATTGCTCAGATGCGATATAAACTTCCCAAGATAATTTATCATACCTAGAAATTGCTGTAATTCTTTCTTATTTGTAGGTTTACGTATTCCTTGCACTGCTTGTATTTTTCTCTCATCTGGCTTTAAACCTTCTGATGTAAGGGTATGTCCAATGTATTTTACTTCATTTAAACCAAATTTACATTTATCCGGATTTAGTTTTGTTCTTTAGCTCGTTTGAGTACTCTCTCAAGACGTTCATCATGTTGTTTCTGATCTACACCTCACACTAATATATCATCCGTTATTACTTTTGTACCTTCTATATCCTCAAACATTTGGGTCATTACTCTTTGGAAGGTCTGTGGTGCAGACTTAATACCGAAAGGTAGCCTAGTATATCTATATCTTCCATTAGGACTATTAAAAGTACACAGTTTAGAAATTTCATTATTAAGCTGTATTTGCCAATATCCACTACTAGCATCTAATGTACTAAACACTTTAGCATTTAGAAGTTTTGTCACTACTTCTTCAATAGTTTTCATTGGATAGTGTTCACGCTCTAATGCTTCATTAGGATCTTTCGGATCTAGACATATACGTACACTATTCTTGTTCTTTTTAGCTACTACAACCATACTACTAACCCATTGTGTTGGCTGATTTTGTTTAACTAATACTCCAAGTTTTTCCATTCTTTTTAACTCTGCTTTAACTTTATTTCGTAGTGGTACAGGAACACATCTAGGTGCATGTACAACTGGTCTAACTTCAGGTTTAACATGTAAACATTGTTCACCTTTAATACACCCTACACCTTCAAACACATCATATTCATTTATCATATCATGATACGTGTTGGACTGCAATGTTTCTATACGTTTAATTAAGCCTAGTCTCTGACAAGCTTCAAGTCCTAACACTGGCTGTACATTTTGATTCATTATCTGAAATTCCACATCAAAATATTTATCTTTGTGCTCACAAACAAGGGTTACTTTAGCTATTGGTTTGATTCTTTCTCCTGAATAGGTAATCAATCTAGCATATTTGTCTTACTAACTTTAGCACTTAACTCATGTATTATTCTTTCTGGAATTACATTACATTGAGCACCAGTATCTAGTTTTAACTCAACTATGTTCCGTTTACTCTTATTATGAACATTTAACTTTACTGTCCACTCTTTTTTATTATGCTCATTTTCTATAGCATCCATGAAGAATTCATTACTTGACTCTTCATCACTATCACTTACTTCATGTACTTTTTTCTTAGGTTTCTTTTGCGGATGACAATTATTCCTAGTCAAGCACTTGTTTGCAAAATGGTTTAATTCACCACAAGCTTTACATGTTTTTCCATAAGCTGGGCAATTTTTTCTTACATGATCATAACCACATTGTCTACAATTCTTAATGATACCACTCTTATTGTATAAGCCTACTTTATGCTTAAAATTTGCGTTGGTATGTCTAACTATACTTACTTCACTTGATACAGTAGTTTCATTCTTTGTGTTTACCTTCATGCTATCTCGTTGTTTTGAACTAGCTTCAGCTGCATGACATATTTCAATAGCCTTTTGTAATGTGAGTTCACTTTCTCCAAGCAGTCTGTCTCTAACCTTATCACTTCTAATTCCCAACACAATCCTGTCCTTTATCAGACTGTCATGGAGCGTTTCAAATTCACATGACCTAGCTTTGCATCTCAAATCAGTGGTAAACCGGTCTACAGTTTCACCTTCTTTCTGAAATCTTGTATTAAATTTATGTCGTTCAAAAGTAATGTTCTTCTGTGGTTCAAAATAAACTCTAAATTTATCCAAAATATCTTTAATATTTTCATTGCTTTCGTTGTCAGCAAATGAAAAAGTGTTGAAAATTTCTAAAGCTTCCTCACCTATTACATGTAGTAATGTGCTACTTTGTACCTTGTTTGGTTTTTTTGATCCAATCCGCTGGCTATAATGTATAACTCAAACTTCTGTTTCCACTTTCTCCATTCTTCAGCCATGTTCTCCATAGTGATTTTAAGAGAAGTTGGTGGTTTTAATCCGTTCATTTTGATTTACTTCTGACACCATGTAATGATATGTTGTAGACAATAATATACAGTAGGCTATTCTGACTTTCTTGTATGTTCCTTTATTAGTATCTTTTTATCAACTGCCTTAAGGCTCATGTGTCCTTACTCTATGTATCATACAATAGAGGGCTCACTCATAATCTTAAGTACCTTCATTACACTCACCTGCTGCGGGACTGGAGCAGTGTCCCGGACAGGAGTGCGCTACTGCTGCTGACTGTGCTAATCCTATAGGCATAGGTGTAGGCCTAATTGTAAACAAACAAGTCATCGGACTGATATACGTTTATTAATTCAATTGAATTATTCCTCCATGATTGAATTGACGTTGACTGAACCGTCTCTCTGTAACTTTGTACGTAAACGATCCCAAAAACTCACGACTTCACACAGTGTACTGTGTGTATTGTCTAGTCGCTCGATCGTCGGTCGGGACGATGTTTCGGTCAGCTGCTCGCCAAAATTGACAGACCTTTTGTCTTGAATATTTATGAGTTGGTTAGAAAATGCTACCAAGCTACTGAAAAAAGTGATGAGCCTCCTTTTCACCCGATTTTCCTGTCTCATCATCCTGTTCATTATCACTTTCTTCATTACTGTCACTGTCTGATGAATGAGAAACACTAGACAACAGCTCAGCAACTGCTTCAGGGCCAGCCTGCTTTTCTGACAAGACAGGTCTCAATTTACCATCTTCCATAAACCAGCAGAGTTTGCATGGATCAGGGATTTCTAGATGAATAACATAATTTTGGCTCCATATATTGGCCTGCAGATGTGCATGCAATATACTGTATGCTGATATAAGGCTCCTGCAGTCGGTGGCAGCTTATTTACACCTTGATTGTTTGGCAGAGTTTTGAATCTTTTCCATCGTAAAGTTGAGGCATTTTAGCAGATACTTTCTTCGTTCAGAGAAGACTACACAAAAACTCCTTGCATCCCATTCTCACATTAAATGACCCCAAGCTTGGCCAAAGCATGTAAACATGAGGTGGTGATTTCATAAACATCTTAAGGGCTGTTTTTTTCCAACACCATTTATATGCCCTGTAATAATCAGGCTCGTATCCAGGGGGGGGGGGGTTATGGTTCGGGAGAACCCCCTTTTTCTAGCAAACCTCCCTCTTTTCTGGCGAACCCCCTCTTCAGATTTCCCACCAACCCACCTGGTGCACTGCAGACACACCCAGACGAAGACCTTTTCAAACATATCTGCTTTTATAGCATTATTTAGACCCTTAAAGCACAAAAATCCCAATCCCCTTGCTTTGGGGGTTTTGCCGACCCCACCGGGCTTCGACCGTGGACCTCACGCCCAAAAAACCCCCCTTGAAAGAACCTGGCTTCAGGCCTGAAAATTTTTATCACAACCGGTGATAGCATGGAAGCCTGGTAGTGTCACTGCTCTTTCCGGTCCAAGATGATCGTATATTGGCTGAAGAGCCACTCTTCTTCTGGTTTCAGTGGTACCTGTCACATTAATTCACACGGCAAGATGTCAAAACAAACACTCCAGAGCATCCTCCAACAACAGCTGTAAGCACACAAGAAGAAGCTGATACTCTAATGATTCCCCATGGCATAGAAGTGGCCTCTGAATCTGGAAATGATATAGACTGGTTTGTATTGATCCTCAGAAGACTTCCACAGCTTGGCATGAATGCTGGAATTTGTGTAGTCTTCTCGGAACGAAGAAAGTATCTGCTAAAGATGCCTCAACTTTATGATGGAAAAGATTCAAAACTCTGCCAAACAATCAAGGTGTAGATAAGCTGCCACCAACTGCAGGAGCCTTATATCAGCATATATTGCGTGTACATCTGCAGGCCAATATATGGAGCCAGGATACTGTTATTCATCCAGAAATCCCTAATCCATGCAAACTGGGCTGGGTTATGGAAGACGGTAATGAGACCTGTCTTGTCAGAAAAGCAGGCTGCCCCTGAAGCAGTTGCTGAGCTAATCATGTGTACCTGTTCAATATGTACATGTTCAAATAGGGCACGTGTAGGAGAAATAATCTTCAGTGTACTGAGATGTGTAACTGCGAAGCAGAAGGGAGTTTCTGCAACAACTTTCCATTGTTGTCTAGTGTTTCTGATTCATCAGCAGTGATAGTGATGAAGAAAGTGATAATGAACATTATCATACTATAAAATCACTGATGTAGGTAAATATAAGTAAATTACAGTATGTAATATGGTTTTTTCAGTATGCTTTCAATATATACAGTACACACATATATATATATATATATATATAT